CTGATGCCACTAAGATCGATAAGCTCTTCTCCGAAGGCTGTGGTCTTGGGCTCGACAGGCCCCGCGACCCTCAGGGCGCAGAGTGGGGCTGCCGGCAGCTGCTGGCCTGGCCATCCGCCTGCGCGGCGTCCCTGATGACTCCGCCCGCGGTCGCTCCTGGCCCTGAAATTCTGCTCCCACCCTTTGCACAGCGGCTGGCACGCCGGCCTTCCAAGCTGGCTGACAGGGGGGTCGGCCACAGGCAAGCTGGACGTCAGATGCCGAGGAAAGATCATCAAGAAGCCGTGGGATGAAAACTGGACGGAGACAGACGGCGTGTTCCGGAATGGAAGACGAAAGGCCGACGCGGCCAGCGAAGGTCTGAGGGCCGAGCCAGCTCAGGGAGAGGGGCAGAGGAATGGTTTCACTTTACCTAACTTGTAGAAAAATCCAGCGCAGGACGTGTAAAAGCGCACCAGAGGCAGGCTGGCCTGAGGCCTGCGAGACCCCGGAGCCAGGCGCGCTCCGCTGGGGGGCCCGGGGCCTGTGGCCGACCGTCTCTGAGCGCCAGCTTCCCGCCCTGATAAATATGGTGCTTGTACTGACTTTGGAGTGATGGGGAGCTTTGCAGAGAGAGTGGGACCAGGCAGAGCGGCTAAGGTCCCCTAGCGACAGTCCACGCTTCTATAACACATGCTACCGCTCCCAAGGGTGTAAATCCCGGATCCTCTCTGTGACCCCGGCCCCCCACCTGCCCTGCTTCGGGCTGAGAGCCCCCGAGTCCCGGGACGCTGTCCCTGCCACTCCCACCAGGAGCTGGGGCTGAGTCTTCCAGTCGCCCCAGGTGGAAAGACTTGGAACTTGAGCGAGTGGCTCCTGCGTGCTGTGGCCGACCACGCGGACAGCTGTCCTTCCCGCGTTCAGGGCCCTGACGGCTGCTGACTGTGAGCGCCCGCTTCCCTGCTCAAGGCGGGGGGTCCTGGCTGCCAAGCACTCTCAGTCCATGCGCAGGGCAGGCGCGAGGAGACGACGCTCTGGAAGCAGCTGTCAACCCCTGTCAGAGGCGGTGGCAGACGGTCCCCCAGAGCTCCCCTGTGGGAATAGCCCCATTGCCTACAGAAGTAGCTTGCTTTTTAACGCATTCTGTGTTGGCCTCCCTGCCTCCTTCCCTCCCCGCCCACCCCCGGTCCCACTTCCTCTCCCAAGTAAACTGCATGCACTGAAGCCCTTGTCTTCGGGAACCCAAGGAACTTGGTAAGAAAATAAATTCTGTTTCATCGGCAACTGGTTCATTAGCCCGATATGAGCCCCTCGCAGACTGGGTCACACCACACCTGAGTGTGCCCTATATGCATCGCCCCTGTCCCAGGCTCTGCCATCAGCCACAGGGTGGTGGGGACGTGTGACAGAGAGGGCTCAGAGTGTAGCCAGAGTACAGCACTCTCAGAGCCAGACACAAGCCTGCAGACGTGGCAACGTAGCTGAGCCCTGGCCGGGTTGCCCAGTTGGTTGGAGCGTCGTCCCATACACCAAAAGGCTGCAGGTTCGATTCCTGGTCAGGGCATGTGCCTAACCTGGTTGTGGGTTCAATTCCAGGTTAGGGCATGTACAAGAGGCAACCGATTGATGTTTCTCTCTCACACCCATGTTTCTCTCTCTCTCTTTCAAATCAATAAATATACCCTTGGGTGAGGATTAAAAAGAAAAAGAAAGGAAAGAACGGTTGACACCCCACGGTGGCCTAAAAATGCAGAGGTAACCAAAGCATCTGCAACACATTCACCAACAAAAATCAACAAACGTTGTTATGGGCTTTTCTGACTCAGCAGCTGGAGAGCAAAGAAGCCCAGAGAGGCAGGGGCAGCTGCCCGAGGCTGCACAGCACAGGCACAGCAGCGGCCGAGGTGCCCTGGGTCAGGTCGTCTGACTACCAGTGCCAGCGAGGCCTTTCATTCTGCCCGAAGGGGAAGGCCGCGAGTGGCAAGCCATCCGTAACTGCCACTCATTTGGAGCACGATGGTGTTCAGAAAAACCCTGGAACTGCAGGCTTCCAGTAAAGAGGAACGAGAAGCTCCTGGGGTCAGCCCCCCGGCAGGCGTGGTTTTCTCCGCGCCCGTCCTCTCGCCCAGCAACCCGGCCAGCTGGCTGGCAACACCGAACCCTGTTCTTCATCCATCAGGGCAATAAAGCAGCCCGTCCCAGACCTGACACAGAGATGGCTGGTCTGCGGGGCCCGGCCTCTCCCGAGCACGGAAAATGTGTTATTGATACACCTCGCAAACCATTAGTGGCTCACGCTGGCACTGCAGTGTCCAACTGGGACAGTGATGGACATGTCAGCCTCGCTGATCTGGGCTCCTCTCAAAGCCACAGCCGGGCACGACTGATGGCCTGTCCCTCCTTGGGGAAAAGCCCCACCCCCCCGCCACGCACATGTATTAACGAGACATCACGCGAGGCCACGGGGAGAACATACCAGTGAGTGCCTGGCACCTGGCGGAAAGAATTAAGCTCAACAATTCCCCAAATCCCCAATGACGGAGCATCAGAAGGTCAGGATCTCATTAAATTCAAGCTGGTTTTGCTACTTCTTGTGTCCATTTTTGGAGTCAGCCCCAGCCTCGGATATGCGGGTTGCCACCAGGATTTCTGTCCTTCCCTTCCTCCCAGGGCCGCACCCCCCTCTTCCGTCTCGTCTGTGCACAGATATTTATTCAGCACGCTCTCGGCGGCCGGGAGAGGTGGCAGGCCTGACGTGCTGTGGCTTTTCTATGACAGCATGTCACAGACTCGTCTGGGAGCTGGCGGGGACAGGGAGTTGAGCTGCGGTTGAGGCACGCGAGATGGGCGCGTCTTCCACGCCAGGAGGGGACACCAGGCAAACGCGGGTGGTGGGACGGGGTCAGGCATGTGGGCGAGCTGAGAGCAACGTCTGGCCGGGGGCTGGAGAGCAGCCGGTGTCAGCGGAGGCTGCAGGGGGTGCGCAGGTCCCCCCGGAGGTGGGCGGGTCCCCCTGTATGCAGACGACAGAGGGACCTGGCTCACTGCGTTCAAACGAGGGCTCTGCCCTCCCCCCTCCTATAGCTTTGTTATTATTTTTAATCCTCACACGAGGATATGTTTTCTTTTTTCAATTGATTTGAAAGAGAGAGAGAGAGAAACATCAATGTGAGAGAGAAACATTCACCGGTTGCCTCCCATCCGCGCCATGACTGGGGATGGAACCTGCAACCTAGGTTTGCGCCCTAACCGGGATCGAACCCGCAACCTGTTGATGTACAGGCTGATGCTCCAGCCAATGGAGCCACCCAGCCAGGGCCCTCCTACAGGCTTTATCGGATGCACTTAGCCAATTGCACCTTTCAGCCGCTTCCTTCATTATATTGCACGATAAGTCTTCACTTAACGTCCTCTATAGGTTCGGCAACCTGAAGTGGACCCACGTCTAATGAAACCCATTTTGCCATAGGCTGATTGATATAAACAAAAGTTACGTTTCTAGGGCGTTCCGTCAGTGTTGTTCAAGAGCCTGCTGTAAATGCCTATTTTGGTCTCATTCCCCCTCCCCCGATCTTTCAGTTCCTGTTGCACCATTTCCCTTGCTTAGCAGGGGATGGCTCATCTCCGCAGGACATATGTTCATGTGCCTCCCTCCCTGGGCATCCTGGGGAGCGGGGAGTGACCCCCTCCCTTGATCCCGACAGGTTCCCTGCTGGCTCTGGCCATCAGCAGGTGCTGAACAGGCTGAGGGTTTCTAAGCCAAGTCTCTAAGGGGCCTGGCAGCCCCCCCGCGTCCCCTGCGGCACACCAGCCACCACGCTGGGAGACGTCCGCTCCACACGGAAAAGACTCAGGGAGACAGACTTGAGGAGACGCCACGCCTGCCAACACCTTGACCTTGACTTCCAGCCTCCACGAGAAAACTAATTTCTGTGAGAAAATAAATTGTTGAAGTCACGCAGGCTGTGGTCACGGGGGTTCACGCGCTTCACCTGGTCACTAGGACGCGTCTGAACTAGTTTTAAAAGGCGGAGAGTAACAGCGAGTCAGAGGGGAACGGCCTTCTAGGCAGAGGCCCACTGATTGAAGAGAAGCGCGACTGCCAGCAGGAAAGACAGGAAGAATGAAAGTCCGCACAAGAGGGGGACTCAGCCCAGGCCCCCTGGGAGCAGTCAGTGTGGGGGGAACACGTGGCGGGCCCCGGGGGGTCACCGGGCGACCACGGAGGGCAGCGGCCAGTGGTCAGAAAGGCACAGGGTTTCCTTCCCTTCCGGGGGGACCGAAGGCTGCAGCCCTTGCTAGGAACCGTCTCTCTTTTTCAAAGTATTTAGCTGTTTGTCACGTTATGGACCTTCCTGTGACAAGATGCCCTGAATTCCCTGTGCGGTGCAGCGAAGGATTTTAATGCTCCGGAAGCGGACCCCGCCTGGGTACCTGCCTTCGCGGCATCTGGTCTGTGAATCGGACGGCCTGGGGTTACAGACAAAGCTCTCATTTCTTGTCCTCAGGAGGATTATAAAACATGACCACTGTCTGCGTGTCTTCTGGCAGCTGCGGGACAAGCTTCCAAGGGCAGCGAGAGGTGACAGCCGGCGCCCTCTGCTAAGGACTCTCCCGACGTGCCGGGAGGACTGGGTGCAGACAGCGGCCTCCGGCCCTGCCTCCCATAGGTCAGCCGCTTCTCTGGTAGCGGCTGTCATTCGGGGCGAAGGATGTCCCGTGGGAAAATGCGTCAGCATCAACATGCACAAAAGTATCTGCGCATCTATAATGCACAGCCCCATGGACGTGGCCGTCCTAGGCAGTGCGCCGGGGACATGAGCCCGCATGCCAATTGAGAGGACGCTGGAGAGGGGACACAGCTGCTTCTCAAAGGCCACTTCCACAGCCTGGTGGCGTGGGCAGCCATGGTCCCAAAAGACAGACCGCATATCGGGCAAATCTACAAAATACTCCAACGCACTGGATCGTCAAACACAGGCAAGAATAGAAATACTTCTCCTTTCGTCCTGTGTGCTCACCTGTTATATAGCAGGATGTCGGGCTTCCAAATCTGGCCGTCTGGGAAACGAACGGTCTTCACGCCCGGGTAGTCTGACATGTTCCATTGTAAATAGTGATCTGTCCAAGACTGACACACACAGACAAGGACATTGAGAGCGCTTAGCTTCCTCGCCTACTAATATCGCTTCTATGAGGTTATTATGTAAGTGCAAAGCCAAAAAGAGATCCAGACATTTATTAACATAATTGAGTTGCTAGCTATAGAATATAAAGACACCAGAAATTAAATAATCCCTTCCAAAATGACCACGAATGACATAAAAATCGCATTTCAGATTTTGCTGTCACTGTGGCCACGCTCAGAGGGATGTGTGCAAGTTAATTCCGGTCCATCACATGCCTCCCAGCGCCGCCCCCCGCCCCGGCTTCCCTGACAGATGGGTGTTTTCTAGCCAAGTGAATAAAATGTTTTGCTCTCAAAGTCTTCCGTAAGGATGCTTTATGAAAATAAATGCAATTATTTCAACTGGAATAAGAACCGCGCTGAACAAATGTAGACTATTTATTTCCATGAAGCCACTTCGTGCAGGGAAACGTCTCAGAAACTTCTAAAGGGCTTGTTTGGGGCCTTGAGGTCGTATTCAGGACACAAGGGTGTGGGAAGGACCAGGAGATATTCGTAAACACACGGACACAGAGCGCATCTCCGTGGGGCCAGGCCGAAATTAGGTTCTGAGGGGCCTTTGCCCGAGGAAGGCCCACACGTGGGCTCCCCAGTCCTGGGGCCACACCCACCAGCCCCGCCTGGACCAATCACGCTGTAAAGACTGCTCAGGTGGGCGGGGCCTGTAGCTGCTGTACAACCAGCGTCACCCAGCAGGGGTCTCGCAGGCCTGGCAGGTTGGACTCAGCAGCCCCTACAAGCAGGGCAGGCCGCCATCCTGTATCCAGGCCCCCGAGGGCCACATGCACTCTGGAGCTCAGACTTTCTCAGATTTAGAAAGTTAGGTGATGCTACCTGCCCAGCAGGGTCCTGGGACACTCATCAGCAAACACATCACTATCTGGGCAGCAAACCATACTAAGACCCAAAATGCCTCCACTATACATCAATTTCAGTTCGATCTTAGAGTCAACACATCGGATGCAAAGCTACAAAAACAACAGCGTGGAAGGAAAAAAATGTTAATATTCCGAGTTGTTGAGATTTGGGACTTGCACTCCCAGAGCGAGTGCAGCGGGGTGCCGGGCCATGTGCCGGCGGCCCCAGCATCCTCTGGGAAGGGGGGGCCGGCGTCAGAACAGTGGTCCCAGTCCTGGGGCCACCGGAGGCTGGACAAGACGGGGGTACCCAGGTGAGTACCGTCATAATGTCATTGAACAGTCACGCACCTTTGCGAACAGGGGTGCGTCAATATCTCCTGTGCTGAAGCGTCACCTGAGTCCCTGGGCAGAGGCTCAGCTGGCTGATGTCTCTAATCAGAGGTGGGCGGATGGGGGAGCAGAGGACGGCGCCCAGAAGGGCCAGTCTTGTTCAGTGGGTTTCGCAGGACTGCCCGGCGCCTGCCGCGCTGTGCCTGGGGCGGCCTGCTCCGTCTCTGGTCTCTCCACCCATGGCCCACCCCGCCCTGCCTCTCTCTTCCTTGTTCTCGGCATAAGCCCCTCCATGCCAACACCTGTGTCCCCGTTCCCTGGCCTCCTGTCTCGCCGTCGGGTTCCTCTCTGCGCTGCTGACACCTCAGAGCCTGTCCTTGTCCCTGCCATGGCCGAGCTGGCCTGGGCCCTAGGCCTCCCAGAAAGCGGGAACAGATGGTTGGTCAAAGGAGGCCTCTTCCTGCAGCACCGCATCTGAGCTGCGGGACGCCTCCCAGCAGGCGCACCCGCCCGTCTCCCCGCCTCACGCCCCTGCTCAGTGGCACATGCTGTGGGCCCGAATCCCGGCCGTTCTGCTTGCTCAGCCTTGCGTGCGGACCTTGATCCCCCCCCATGGACCCTGAAAGGGGACACTGGGGAACTTTGACCTTGAACTCGGCCGGACGGAAGTGCGGGTAGCCAGGGGGCTCCTATTTGCGCTGGCGTCTAAGGTGCGGGGCCGCCCTCAGGGACTGCGCGCGTGATGGGCGAGATCCCACATTCTCTGGGGAGACGGCGTGAGAGGGGAATCGAAGGGATGGACCCGGCCGCTGTCCAGAGAATCAGAGAATTGGTTGTCGGTGTGCAAGACACTGCATATTTGCTGTCGAGAAACTTCTTACATACGTCTGTTTTGGTATGTCTTCCAGTCAACTATCTTGATGTCAGAGGAAGAAAGTGGGCCTCTTGTTCCCCGGTCCCCCGAGCTTCGTTCTCTCTCAGTGCGACAGAGTGACTGAAGTGCCACCCTTGGCCACGGGCTGCTGGTGTGGCCCTAAGCCGGCCACCAGCTCACTTGTCTATGAGCACAGTGTGTGAAGGGACAGTTCAGAAATGAAAAAAGAAGTACGGTTCACAGTCTAACGCTACAATGGGAATGCTATCAGGCCCATCAGAATTAAGAGGTTAAAAAGTAGAGAATACCGTATTTTGCCGTGTATAGTGCGCACCCATGGTTTTTGTGTGCATTACACATGGAATTCTTATACCCACGGTATGGAATCATTATATCCATGTATAATGCACGTCCTTATTTTTCCCTCAAAATTTTGGGCAAAAAAGTGCGCATTACACATGGCAAAATACAGTAATATAAGAAGGACTAAAAACCAAGAGCCAGAAAAGTGGTCGAAATTCCAAGCCAAGAGAAGACACTTTTTTTTAAAAGAACACATGCGACTTTCTGGGTGGCTCAAATGTCTCTGCAGAAACTGAAATGGCCCCTGCCGTTTCGTCTCCTGGATTAAATCAGATTACGTCTGACAGGCTTCCGAAATAATAAAACTAATCCACAGAGAAAATCCACCACCCGCTTCTTCCTAGGACTGTAAAGACATAAATAGAGAGATCAGCTGCTTTCCCCCACCTTCAGGCCAAGAAACCGGAAAGGCAGATGGAATCAAGGGCAAGAGCGAGGATGGAAAACAAAATCAATAAACTGAGAATTTATGGTATTTCATTCTTTAACCTTTCTGCCTCTTCTATTTTGACTGTATAGAAAAATCGAGCATTTGCAGACCAGGGACATGGGATACCCCGGGGGAGACCGTGCGGATTTAGATTTCCAGAGCAGGGGTGCAGCCGTGGGACACCCCAGGGGCCCCGGTTCCTGGGGCCTCTGTCCCCGTCCTGTCCGCGAGGCCGCCCTCCCTCGGGACCCCAGCCCGCCAGCCTTGCCTATGGAGTTGCTCTCACATCTGCCCATGAGCCAGGCTGGCTGGTGGCCGGTCCCAAGATAAAGAGCCCAAAGAGCAGGAACCGAGTGACAGTTGTCTTATCAGGGGCCTGGGGCAGCATCCAAGGCTTCCCTGGTGATGTCTGAGTCCCCTGTGTCCAGGCTGTGGCCGCAGCGGACAAGGCACAGCTTTGCAGGTGGAAACACTGAATGGGACAGAGATTTTGACTAGATGACAACTAAGGTCCCCCGGGGCCCCCGGGTACTTGGCGATTCCTCCTCCCTGAGCCGGGGTCCGCATCACGGCGGCCACAAAGGCTGCAGGGGCGACTTCCGGGTGAAGGTGTCACGCATGCTCTAGGGGCGCCTGGCCTAGGCTCCCTGTGGTGGCCCCTGGGAGCGGGGGTTAGTGAGCGAGGCCACACCTAGAATTGCCACCACTGTGAACCCTGCTGTCCGCTGCGCCTCCCGTGGGCGCGATGGGGGGCGACTGATATTTTAACCTTCCTTCAGGTTGCAAACGGCACAGCCTGATTGTAACCGGCTTGGAGGAAGAAACCGGGTTTCATCCGTTCCTGGGTGGTCCCCACCACGTGGTCTGCGTCAACGCCTTCCAAGCAGGTGCTCGGGAAGAGGAGCTGAGCAGGCACGCAAGATTAAAGAGGTGAGTTTTAAAACCACCGAAGCAGAGGATGCTTCTGCAAGTGCAGGGCTTAATTAGGACTAGGCTGCACTTGGAAGAGATTTACAGGTCTCTGGTGGATCTGCCGAAACGAGGCTGTTTATTTATGGAGCAACTAAACTCAAAATAGTATGTGATAATGTTGTTACAGTTTTCTCCTAGAAACCGACATCCTTCAAAAAATTGCCAAATCTTTATGTTGCTGAAGAGCAGACACTTACTGGGAGCTAAGAAATATAGACACTGGGGAACAGATCTGCCCGTGACCTTATATGCCGTGAGCACATGACGTGTCTCTCAATGTCAACATCGGCTCCGTATTTTAGAAGAGACAGGACATGTCCAGTGTCATGTAAACACGGAAGAATTCACATTACCTCCCAGAATTCCTAGAGCTTTATCTTATAGCGCAGCGTTCAAATATTATTTGGGAGGTGCCTTTAGTTTGTATTGCAATATCCTAGCCTCTCCCAGGTTCACTGCGAGTTTTCTGTTTCATTCATTTGTTGCACCAGACCCAGGTATCCCGGGTCTACAGCGGGGTAGCCGCAGGGGAGAGCCAGGAACAAGTCCAGAGAGGGCCCTGGCCCTCCGGAAGCCCACTTCCCGTGGGGGGCGGGGGACTCGGAGCCCACTCACCAATGAGCAACGAAAAGGCTGTCACACGCGACAAGCGCTTTGGAGGCAAAATGAAGCGGGTGCCATGGGCCACCTGTCTGCCTCCCCCCGAGGTCCCTGTGTGGAAGCCCAGACCCCGACGCGATGGAGATGGAGGCAGGGCCTTCGGGAGCAACTAGAACACGAGGGTGGGGCCCCAGGACGGGGATTCGTGCCCTTTTGAGAAGAGGCCACAGAGCCTGCTCGCTTCTCCCACCACGGGAGGCCGCTGCGGGGTGGTGCCTGTCTGACCACGCCAGGTGCCATGACCTTGGACCCCCAGCACCCAAACCGTGAGAAATAAACGTCTGTTGTTGATAAGCCACCGAGTTAAGGGTGTTTCCTGACAGCAGCCCGGGCTGACTAAGGCGCAAGGTAAGGAGAATACAGTGAGCGGGGAGAGGGTTTGGGGCTGTAGGTAGGAACTCCGGGGAGACCGGGCTGAGGAGCGGCCTCTAGGAAGAGACTGGTGAAAAGTGAAGGAGAAAAAGCAAGCGATTCCTGGGAAGGAGCCTTCTGGACAGAGCGAGGAAGTGCAGGAGCCCTGAGGCGGCAGGCGCTGGCGATGCGCTCAGGGCACCAGGAGGAGGGCGCTGGACAGGGAGCAGGGCCGGCGGCGGGAGGGCAAGAGCCACTTCAAAGGCTTCACCTGACCTGCCGCAGAGCAAGGCGGGGCTCCTGGAGGGGCCGCTGAGCCCGAGCCCCGGTCTCTCTTGCTAGGCTCACGCGGACTAGAGGGGACGCGGCCCTGCCAGGGAGGGCGGGACCGACCCGGAAGCCTGGCTCGGAGGCGCTGTGACAGCCGAGGTGACAGATAACACTGGCTTAGACCTGGCTGGAGCAACGAGCCGACGCTCAGCGCTTAGACCCTGGCTCTGTTTTGAAGGTCGAGCTGCCGGAGTTTAATGCCAGATCGGAGCTGGGTGAGAAAGATAAGAGCCGTGGTGGCCCCGAGGCTTTCGGTCTCAGCCAGCGGATCCATGGAGTCCCCATGCGTCCTGGCAGAAAAGGCCGCGGGGGCCGGAGTGCCGCTGGGTTTGGCAGCCCCACAGGCACAGCGCGGAGGCCGCCGGAGGGGCACCAGCCCACGGTGAGGCTCCCAGCCCCGAGCCTGGCCCTCCGCTCCCCGAGGGACGAGTGGCTGGAAGCAGGCGAGGAGGCGGCAGCAGGACTCGGGAGTGACCAGTGGGTGAGGAGGAAAACCCAACAGAGATGTGTCTAGACACTAAGTGAAGGAGGGTTTCAAGGAATGGAAGGCAGTCAGCTCCACCAAACGCTCCTGAGGGGCCCAGTAAGATAAAGGCGGGGAAGTGATCACCAGACCCAGAACAGTGATGTTCTACCGGAGGCGGCGTTAGGGTAGGACAGGAATTGGGCGGGATGGTGCAATTCTGCTTCCCGACAGAGGTGGAGCTGCTGAGCTGAAGGCATTCCTGGCAGTTCCCTGACTGGGACCCTTAGGACTTGCGCCTTGCATTCTATGCAGATTTACCCTTGAAGAAAATATATTTTTTTTCTCTAAACTCTAAAATCTGCATGCAATTCGTGGCTGAAAGTACACCGATGCTCACTCTTCTAGTTGGAACTGTATTTAAAAATAAGCAACATCAACAAAAAGATGGATAGCTGGCCAGGCGTGGGATAAAGTCAGTATAGCACCAGTATGATGATTATAGGGCCCAGGACGCAGGTGTCTGGGTGCCCACTGAAGGTCCAGCTTTTCTGTGTGTCTGAAGAGTCTAGTTAAAAACTTGTGAAAAAATTACTGGTTGCATTTCGTAACCTGGGGGGCAGTGGTTGGCTCGCCCAGAGCTGAGAAGGCTGGGTTTCCTGAGCATGCAAGGGCAGAGGATGCGTACTCGGGGGCGCCGCTTGGAGGGACCTACAACGGTGAGGAGGAGACCAGGGAGTCGCTGGGGAGGACGTGGGGGCCACAGCCCTGCGTGTCCGCGTGCGCCGCAGAGCGACCCACACGCCCTGTTATGGTGAGGGAGGCAGCAGAGACGGCGCCTGAAGCGAGGCTGTGCGCAGGCGCCGGGAGGTGGGGCCTTGCCCAGGGAGCAAGGACCCTGCGCCCAGGGCGCGAGGAGGGACGCTCGCGTGGGTGGGTACAGGTGTGGGGGCGGGGGTCCGCTCACTGAAGAAGCTACTTTCAATCCTTCGGGGACAAATGGACAGAGCTTGCTGCTTTACTCATCACGGGCAGGCTGAGCGAGGGGTCTCGCGCGTCGCGAAGATGCCGCTGGGCCCACAGCAGACGACTGGAGGGGATTCGTTTTCCATCCATCAGCTGCCATGTGTGTTCCCGCTAAAACGCACCTGCCCGAGAAGACCCGTGGGATCCCCTCTGCCTGGACGCGTACCCCTCCCATTTCCCTGGTCTCACCTCTGACTTAGAACATTGCCCCAGGGACCAAAGACTCAATTCAAATGGCTATATTATATGGATGATGTTAAAAATTGGGAGATACACACTTTCAGAGGTCGGGTGTGTTTTAATTCTTCGCTTTCAACACAATTAAAGGAGAAACTCATGCAGTTGTCAGCTGGTCCACCTTGAAGAAAACTACGTAAAATTTGGCATGTAACCTGGAAAAAGTTCAAGGAATTGAATAACATTGCTGAGACAAAGTATCTTTCATTATGAACTAGACATGTCACTGCATCTATTTTTGAACGCGACACAATGGGTGGAATCTGTATCAATGTCTCAATTCTAGTAATAAAAAATAATCACTATAAATATGCAAATGAGCTTAAAACAAAGTTTCATCCTTGAGAGAGCAATGAATCTCCAATTCTTTGTTTAATAATTACTTATTAAAATTTGTAATTAGTGTCACCTTGATGAATTTTGTACCAAAATTCATGATACTAAATCAATCCGGAAGAAAAATTTTTCATACTTATTTTTTGAAGGAATATTTCTATGCAAATATTTACATTTGAGTGAACCAAGACAGAATGATTAATAAAAGGCTCTCAAACCTAAAATTATATTGCATTAGGTTAAAACTTGGTATGCAAAGCGGAATAGAACAGCACAAAGACAAAAAGAGACAATGGAAACTACTTGGTCATTCAAAAAGGGTTTGTTTGCATTTTTTAAATGACTGACATGGATATCAAGTTATATGCTACTTAAATAGCATCCATTCAAAATAGAGACTAGCAGTCTTATTTTTAAATCGCAGCCTTTACTATTTCATGGAAGTGGCATCATGTGCAACTAATTCACTTTCGTGGTTAGGATTTTAGATACCCCCCTGAAAACCCACGAGGGGAAGAATGCAGCCCTCCCAAATTCTCTCCGGGGTCACCGGAGCCGGGCATGAGCAGAGCTCAGGGTTCAAGGACGCCCGTTTGGGGGGCGTGAGCAGAGAGAGGCAGGTGCTCCCGCTCTCTAGGGACCAGGGACGGCGCAGGTGTGGACACTGCCATGCAGACGTGGGTCTTATGGCTTGTCTTGCATGAAGTGCTTTAGAAATTTTCCCACATCAACCTGTCACGAAACGCAGGCCTGCCTTTCGGGAGCCTTGCGGGAGGCAGCGCGCTGCATCCACGGCGGGACTTAGGGCCTCGCTGTCGGCGCCTGCGCAGTCAGGGAGGACAGACAGCCCTGGCTTATGTCCCGGGTCCTCTGCGTTCTCTACAATCCACACACGGGCACCCCAGAAGCAAGCGCGGGGACATCTGTGGACGGGGACTGCCGCGGTCTCAACTTACCATTTGCAGCCAAATGTTGGTGGTTAGAACTTGGTTCTTCTCGTCCTTGAAAAGAGAAAGAAAAGAAGCGTGCTATGTTTACATGGTCTGAGGCTGTGCAGGGATTGGAAGGCACCCAGGCCTCCCAAGCTCCCTGGAGTGGCAAAGCGCCCCAACGGAAGCTTTTCCCTGCACGCTGAGGTCATGCACATTCATGACAGAGCGCTTACAAAAGGCTGGGAAGTATAAAATCGAGAATTAAAACTGCGGACGCACCATCTTATACACTTAAAAAAATTAAATTGGGTGCAGTCTAATTTTTTAAAGTCAAGTGCCCTGCCAGAATGTATAGAGTTTAAAACGAATACGCATACTGTACGCCCCCCCTTCCCGGGGGGATGGTGAGCTGGGACCGCAGCTGCCCCGGGTGCTACTGTTAAGGGTTATGCGGCCCGCGTTTGTCCTGGTCCCAGTGCACCTGCCTCCTTTCCTCTCATCTTTTGTCTCCCAGGCAGCGTGCAAGGCCCTTGACACACACCTGCAAGGTAAGTCCCGCTCAGGTGAGCAAACTAAGGATCAGAAAAGAGAGGTGCCCCCTTTCTGACATTTCCAAACCGCCTGTGTGTGGCATGAGAAAGGGCGCCAACCGGGGTGTCCACTGAGATATTCGACACCTGGGATGCCACCAGCCTTGCCTCGTGGCCAGCCAAGTCCACGGCCGAGCAACAGCCAGCGCAAGCGGAGACAGAGGAGCGCGTTTCCCTCGACAGTGCGCCGGACACATTGTCCGGCGGTATTTATTGCTCAATTCCCACCCGCAGGGCTCTGCACATTAGCGATCTCCACCCGCTCCAGGAGGAAGCGCTGATTAGCCATCCCGTGCAGACAGGAGCTCCTCCAACAGGAGCTGCCTGGCAGGGCCGGCTGGTGACGCGCGCGGCCGCGGAGCCGCGGCGGGAGGAACGCGGCACCTGCAGGGGCGCGGTCAGACGGCAGCCGTGCGACTGAGAAATGGATGCGGCTTCTCACTACAGTAAAAATGTGTGGACTGTGGAAGGAGCTGGCAGAGACTTGGATGCATCAGCGCCCCCGCCCCAGCCGCTCGCACCGTGGGCACCTCTGAGGGGAGAGATTTTGGGGGGTGGGGGGGGTTGGAATCCTCCAGAGAGTCTCTGCTGCCCGAGGAGGGGCGGGGGAGGAGGCCCCGGGGATCCGAGGGCAGGGACTGTGCCTGGAAGAAGCTGCCAATTTAATTACAGGGGGGAAAAATCCCATTTTGCAAAATAACACATGCCAAGGCTGTCGATGGAAAAAGCTGTAGAGCTGACCTTTCTGCTTTCTCCGCTGAGCAAACGACCCCGGCAGAGCCGGACGCTTGAATCGCGCGTTCTCTTGCGCCAGTTCCAGCTCCCGTGTCACTTGAAAGCACCAAGACTTTGTTTAGGACGTGCATCTCCTGCCTCGATGTATTAAAGGGTGGTCGTTTTTAATGGACTTAAAATTAGCCGGCGCGTTCCACGGAGGTGTCTTGCTTTCTCTTAATTGCATTGGTATCTTCATCTTCTCCGAGAGAGGCTTCTGTGGTTTGGGACTCCGATTCCTACCAACCTAATTAAAAGCCTTTCTTCTTTCCAGCATCTCACGGAGACCTCATTAGAGCGAGACGGGATTTCCGCGGAGCGCGGCAGCCAGCGTGGGACCCCGGCGCGGCGCCGCGAACTGTAATCAACACAAAGCCGCAGGCAGCCACCGCCCGAGAGTGTCGCGAGTGTCGCGCTGCCAGGTGGGGGACCCTCGGCAGGAGGGGCCCCCAGCAGGAGCCCAGCGTGGGTCCGCGAGCTCCCTCCTGTCCCGGGCGGCCCACGCGCTGGCTCAGCCTCGCAGCTCTCAGTCCGCGCCAGGACGGCTGTCACGCCGCCTTCCCACCCCCGTGCGCCGTGTCCCCTCCCCCCATTCATCTGTTGAAACTAAACCCCCGTCGAGAGGGTGTTAGGAGATGGGGACTTGGAGAGGCGCGCAGGTCAGCAGGGCGCAGCCCTGACGACGGGACGGGCGCCCTCACCAACAGGACCGCGCTCCTTCCCCCGGGCGGCAGCCGTCCAGGGCCCTGGACGCGGGTCCTCGCCGGAGCCACTCCCGCCCGCCCCTTGATCTTGGACTTCCCGGCTCCAGACATGAGGGGGACATGCGCATGGTTTCCAGGCTCCGTCGGGGAACTGCTGCTGCACCCACCCCCAGGCTGACCCTGCTCGGTCCGGGGGGGGCTCTCTGCCCTCCAGCTGCGCGCGCAATCCAGCCCGAAGGCCTCGGGGCAACAGCGAGCCCTTCCCCCCAAGCCGGCCGGGCCAGCTGTTCGCTCCCTCCTTCATTCGTTCACTCACTCGCTCCTTCACTCAGTCGAAGAATGTTTGGGGAGCACTTCCGGTTGGCAGCACTAGGCCACCGGACAGGAACCCTGGGAACGGAATCGGCCCTGCTCCCGAGCTCATGGGGGCAGGGGGAGAACCGCACAGTTCCACAAGGACACACTACAGTCCCAAAGAGCGGGCACAGAGGACAGCAACAGGGCACCTTCGGAGGCAAGGACAGAGCAGGCTTTACCCCTTAACATGTGCACCCTGTGACCCCGAAAACCCGAAAGACAGCCCTCCCAGCCGCCCCGCGCCCTGCGTGCCAGGTGTCCGCGCAGACCTGCCTGCTCCTTGCCTCCGGCCGCCCTGCCCACGCCCCGGTCCCTCCTGCTCAAGGCCAGGGCGAGGCCGGGCTGCCTCCTGACTCCCCGGGCCTCCGGCAGGGCTTCCGGCCGCAGAACTGGGCACAGGCAGAGGGGTGCTGGGGAGGCAGAGCTCCGTGTGACCTGCGGGGGACCCTTCCTGCCTGACCATAGTCCTGCCCGCTTCAGAAAGGCAACCAGTGCTCGGGGTGTCAACACACAGGACGGCCACCTGCCCACCCCCCCGAGGGTGCAGCCTGGGGGACCCAGTGCCCCCAAAGTCCTCACGGGCCAGAGCTCCCGCACCCGGGTGCCCATGGCCGCCCTCAGCTCCCTGCCCCTCCTCCCTATGCTCTCGGCACCCGCTGTGCCGGCTTCCCCAATGCGGCCTCTGCTAGGGACCCCGACTTCAGCTCTGCATGCTCTGCGGAGCCTCAGGGTTGGCACATCTCGGGGCACACGGGAGCGACGTGGAAACCGAGGACCAAGCCTTTGCTTTAGGAAGGCGGCAGATGGCTCTGAAGTTCCAGATGTCCCTCCGGCCCTGGGCAGAAGGACGGTCCTGGCAGTGCACGCAGGGGGGCCCCCACCCCCACCGCCCAGAGTCTGCTCAGGGACAGAATCCAGTTCCTCACCCGGGAGGGAAGCTCCCTCCCGCCTCATCCAATTAACCGCTGCTGGCTGCGAGGCCGCCCACCTCCCGTGCTGCACTTGAGCTCGTCTGCAATCCTGAAGCGGCTGACGGAGCTGGATTTAACAGCCTCTTCCCTCCCAAGATGGATGGCACACTGGGTAAATGCTGGCGAACTTTCCAGCCCTGGCCCAGAGTCGGGAATAAATAACCGGGCACGCGCCTCCCGGACAGCAGGATCTGAGCGTGGGCTTCGGCGGTTCCAGGCCCTCGGGCCACCGCTGGGCAGCAGAGGGGGGAGCCCGGGCTGGCGGGAGACCCTCTTGCCCCTGCCCCAGCGCCCCAGGCTCAGGTGCTCAGTTTCTGTGCATTTCAGTTTTCTCTTCCTGGAAATGGGGAGAGAACAGCTTCCCCAACCTCCTTCCAGGGTGGGACAGGAGGAGGCAGAGTCAACAGGCCGGCCGCTGACCCTTCGTGCCACGCGTGCGCGCGCATGACTCTTCCCCCAAAACCCACCCCTTCCCTGACCCTAAGACAACACAGGAGGAGACAGGACTTTTGTGCCAGGGAATCACAGGGGGCTGGAGTGGCGAAACACCCCCAGCGTCAACTGGCCTCATGTCTCCCATTTGCTTTTGAACCTGAGCACTTTGGAATATTCGAAGCCTTAAAGAAAAAGAGGAAGTGCTACAATCTGTGGCAAACAGATGAACCGGGAGGACTCCGTGCTAAGTGAAATAAGCCGGACACAGGAAGACGGATACACGGGATTCCACGCGTGGGAACCATCTGCAGTAACCGCTGTCATAGAGGCAGAGAGGAGGACGGGTCGCCGGGGGTGGGGGAGGGGCTGGGAGGGGTCAGGCCAAGGGCACGGAGTTTCAGTTCTGGAAGAGGAACAGAGACCTTCTGTGCAGCAAGGAGGTGATAGTTAATAACACTATATGCTACACTTAACATTTTCTAATAATAACAATAATGACAGTGATAATGTCAGATATATACAGAGGGCAGGGAAACTTTGGGAGGCAATGGCTACATTGACGGCATAGTTTGTGGTGAGGGTTTTGCAGGCAGATCTTATTTTCAAACTCGTGAGACTGTACACATTAAATAGGTACAGCTTTTTGTACATCCATCGTGCCTCAATCAAGTAGCTTTTAAAAAATTACACTTGCACTTAAGTAGCTTTTAAAACCAATCTCCCGGGATAGTCTTGTACTGGCTTTGAAGTACAAGTCTGATCATGCGTAATGTGCTATCTTGCATTTCTAGGCCATTAGTCTTCCAGAAGTTATAAGGCTGCACTATTCCATCCTATTTTTCAGAGCTCCAACACTTTTTCTTGCTTTTATGTAGATGTTGAGGAAAAACCCAGATAGCAATAGATCTGTGTCTGTATTCTTGTTTGCACAGAAAATAGCTGGGTAATATAAATTCCCATTTGCATAGCACGCTGTAGTTTATAGCAAGAATTACTTCTTCTATCTCATTTACTCTTTCCACCGATCGTGTCTTTGTCCCAGTTTTAAAGGATAATAAGTTGAGAGTTTGATTCTCCCTGAGTCAGCGAGATAGGAAGTCTGACAAAAAAAATTCATATCCAGAATAAGAAGCAAACTCCTACTAATCAATAAGGCAAAGGCAGGCAATCCAATAGAAAAATGGGCAAAAGATGAACAAGCACATGGTGCTCCCCACCGAGGATGTCAGTAATGATAT